AGTTTGGGAACAGCACAGAAAGAGGGTGAGGTGGAAACTGGAAAGCTCTTTGAAGTAGCGCAGCATCCTAGGACTAGGGGACGCGGATTAAACATGATTCATAAGAGGCTTTTGCTCAGGCACTGGGAACTCTGTGGAACACCCCTGAGGAGTGGTGGGTGCAGGAAAGTTAATCACATTGAGGGCACGACAGCTTAGCCAAGTAATCACCCTGCTGGGGTAATTCATGGGCTGATTGTTCCTGAGCACAGGGCTAATCTCAGCGCTATCAGGTATTGACTTCAAATATCGCCCGATTGCTTTCATCGTGGCTCAGTTGGCTCCCAAGGCTTTTGTTGGCACAGTGAAGAGGAATCTCCTCCCCTCTGAGGGTTTGGTTGGGTGAGTCTGAACAGTCCTTTTTGCACAGGGACTTGCACAGGAGCCAGGCAATGGTCAAACTCGTCCATTACCTGTTCACCAGGCTCAGGTTAATGATGTATCACCAGTTTCACCAGTTACTGCCCACAGCTAATGGAGGGAACTGCTGTGAGCCTGTGAAAAGTGAAGGGTACAGCAGCACAGAATTGCTTCAGTTGGAAAAGACCCTTAAGATCATCAAGTCCAACCCTTCCCCCAGCACTGCCAGGTCCCCACTGCCCCGTGTCCCTCACCCCACATCTCCACGGCTTGGGAACCCCTCCAGGGGTGGGGACTCCACCACTGCCCTGGGCAGCCTGGCACAGCCCTGGGCAACCCTCCAGGGCAAGAAATTGTTCCTCAGGGACAACCTCAACCTCCCCTGGGGCAACTTGAGGCTGTTTTCTTCTGTCCTATCAGGACAGAGACTTGAGTGAGAAATGGGCCAAACACTGCACACAGGTGACTCCTGCAGCCTCCTTGCTATTGCTCCTCCTGATGCTTCTTAATGCCCAGAAATGTGACCACAGATCTAAGATTCTGACAAAACACACAAAAATTTGACCACAGATCTAAGATTCTGACAAAATCTGATGCCAGGTGTGTCAAAGGAAAACAAGGGGCACTTCCAACACAAGTCAATGTGCAAGACTATACTTTGGGGTGGAAATGCCTTTCTTCTGGCAGCTGCTGCCTAGATAACCCCTGGATCCAAAGAAATTATGGATCCTGGCAGTCTATCCAAGGTAGTGCAGATACAAACACTATTCATTACTCCAGCATTCCATAGAACATACACAGCCTTACACATGCACCTTCATTCAATCCTCTAACTCTCTTTCCAGCCAGAAGTCCCTTGAAGTTACAGAATTATCTTTCAGCACAATGAATTCACTCTTCTGTGCCAAAGCCCTGGACTCCTCCCAGCTTTGCTGCTTTGCTGAAACACTCTTGAACAAACTCTTGTCCTCATCCTTCCCATTACAGCCGTGTCCCATCCCCAGGAGTTAGTTAGAGGCTATTTTAGAGGGAGCCAGAAGTAAGCTCAGACTAGGGAGCTTGGGGAGGACACAGACACCCAGGAAAAGCCAGGAGGAGGAGGAGGAGGAGGAGCTCTTACGCCTGCCTGGCCTGCTCGATGGGGTGGTAGTTGTCCAGGTAGTTGAATCTGATGGTGTCTGTAGGGTGCCTGTCTGAGGAACGCCAGGGGGGCAGCTCTCTCCTCTCCTTGTTTCTCCTCCTTCCTGACACACAAAGTTTTGCTTCTGGGACGTTGCTTCTTACTGGCTGCACGTCGATAACTACGAACTCGTTCTTTGAAGGAGTCTGAGAAGAGGGATTAAAAGAAGAGCACGAATTTTAGCCTGTAAGGAAAAAGAGATTTATTTTGGCCTCACTTTAGACTTCTAAAAATTTGGTATTGAGTCAAAATCAGGCTCTCCAGGCTCCATTATAGTCAGTGGACAGATACAACCATCCTAACAGTGCATGTCATCACCCATGTCCCAAAATCTGTATTGAGATGAGCAGAGCTGCTTTTGAGATTCATTGGCTTCTCTCCATTGACTACAGAGAGAGCCTGGGGGGAGTTTGGTTAAAATTCAAGGGCTGAGTTTTGAATTCAGGGCAGGAGAATCCCACCCTTACAGCCCCACAAAGCAGGCATGGCATCAGTGAGTGTCAGGAGAAAGCAATGGCTCCTGGGGAATGCTCCACCTCCCCAAAAGGGCCCTGCTTCTTTGGAGAAGAAAGAGATGACACCAAGGGCTATACATTATATATATAATGGGTGCTTTTTTCCTTTCCACCAGCTAGACTGACTCTGAAGTGGATGATGCTGGGCTCCTCTGCCTATCAGACTGAGGCCAGCTATCATATGCCCTGTAAACTGGGGGAAAAGAGAGTGGAACAGCCTTGAGTGCTGGAGAGGGAAATTTAGAGGGTTACTCCAGCACACCCTGAAAAGACAGCAGAGACCTTGTGATTGCTTCTCCTAACCACTGGGATTTTCACTTTCCCCCTACAAAGGATGGATGACAGGAAAGTAGAGTGTGTGGCCACACATGAGTTTGGATTCTAATTTAAAATGATGTTTCTTCCACTTTACTAGTGAGAGATTACAGGAAGATAAAGAGGCAAGAGGGGTCAGGAACCCAGCCAGCCCAATTCTTCCACTGGCCCCAAGCACCTCTGGAGGGGGCAGTTCCATACCTTTGGTCTCGTGACGTGCAGCTCTTTCACCATCTCAATGTAATGTTTCTTCCAGATGCCTTGTTCAAAGGGGGTTGGAGAGAAGTTGATGTACCAGCCAAAACGCAGGCACTTCAGCATCCAGAGCTGGTCCAGTTCAGACAGGTACTTCCAGTACCAGCTCACCTGTGAACGCCCAGGGAGCTGAAGAACTTGGGGTTTCAAGCACCCCAGATTGCAGGTAGGGACTTCTGCACTGTGGATGGAATCCCCCTGTGTCCTTAAACCAGTACAATCCTTCAGCACTGTTTATGCTCCATTTAAACCTTTCATTAAACCACTTAAACCATTCCAGGTCTTCATGATGTGCTCAGTGCCTAGAGTGTTAGCTGATCTCCAGCTCAGGGTGAAATGTGCCAAAAATCACAGGCCAAGAGGAAAGATTGCAGCTTGTTTGGGGCAATTCTGCACTTCTACTCAAGAAGCACCCAGGAGCTTGAATAAAACCTTTATTATTTTTCTCTAATATCAAGTCTAACAGACCTGTTCTGAACATTTTCCCCCTGCTCATGTTCTGCTGTTTGACTCCATCACATGGATGCTTCTCTGAGCTTAAGGACAAACATCATCCATTGGCACTGTCACATTTATCTAGAGCTGTTCCATGGCATGACACCAAGAGCACTGCAAAGGCCTTTCTTTCTCTGTCAGCAATTTCCTAACCTGTCTTCTCCCTGCCTGTAAATGAGTAGTGTGAGTTGTAGCCACAGAAAACATGAAATGTTGGAGAAAGATACTGCAGTGAGCTTTGGACAAGCTGAGATTTTGTAGTCTCACCTGGAGTGCTGTGTTAGTGCAGCAGTAAAGTCACCAAGATCTGAACTTACTGAGAGAGTCACACAGAACCCCAGCCTGGTGGGGTGGGAAGGGACCTCTGGGGATCATCTCACCCCACCCCTGCTCCAGCAGCTCACCCCCAGCAGGGTGCCCAGGGGCACAGCCAGGAGGGTTTGGGATCTCTCCAGAGCAGGAGACTCCACAGCCTCTCTGGGCAGCCTGGGCCAGGCTCTGCCACCCTCCCAGCAGAGAAGTTTCTCCTCCTGCTCAGGTGGCACCTCCTGGGTTCCAGTTGGTGCCCGTTGCCCCTTGTCCTGTCCCTGGCACCACTGAGCAGAGTCTGGCCCCAGCCTCTTGCCCCCCGGGGCCCTTTAGCTCTTGCTCAGCACTGCTCAGATCCCCTCTGAGGCTTCTCTGCTCCAGCTCAGCAGCCCCAGGGCTCTCAGCCTGGCCTGGCACAGAGATGCTCCAGCCCCTCAGCAGCTTCCCAGCCTCTGCTGGACTCTTTCCAGTAGTTCCTTATCTCTCCTGACTTGGGAATCCCAGAACTGGACCCAAATACTCCAGAGGTGGCCTCACTAGGACAGAGTAATGCCCACAAGAAACCATTTTTGGCCACAGTGGCCCGTTGCTGGCTCATGGTGAACTTATTGTCCATTCAGAACTACTTTGGGCATCACCTCACAGCACTTTATCTCATGAAAACACTTTTGGAGTCTTAGCCCCTGTACTCAAAAGACTGAACTCCTGACCACTGTGCTCAAAAATACATCTGCAACTTCTCTTCTTCTCCAGATCCAACACTTCACCCTCAAGCATTTTAAAGGATCTGGTTTTCTTCAAGCATCACGTGCAGTTCTTTTCAGCTAGTGCAAGCCAATACTTTTCCAAGCAGTTCCTGATTCTGTACAGTTCAAGGAACTTTAAAATGGTTTTGGAGGTTGGACTAGATGACCTTTAAAGTTCCCATCCAACCCAAACCATTCTGTGATACTACAAGAACATGATTTTCAGGAAGTACCAGGCCTCCATCTCAAGAAGAGTGACATATTTTAAGCTGAGCATCTAAAATTACTCCTCAATTTTGTAAATCTTGGCCAATCTGGCTTAATTTAGGATCTGTGGGTGTTGCATTCGGTCTCATCCAAGCGCCAACTGAGCATATGGCACCACATGGCCAAGTCAGAAGACATCCTTGTGTTATGAGGAGCAGCCCTGGTGCTGAAAACTAGGAGAGTTTCCTTATATTTTTAACTACTTTGACCTTAAGCTTTTTTACCTGTGCACATCGACAGAGGCTCCGTGGGTCCAGGAAGGAAAAGATGTATAGAGAGAGGACTCTGGGGAGCTTGGTGGTGAAATCTAGAGCCTCGGTGGGGACTCGAGCCTGTAGCTGCTTGGCACAGAACTTCTGCTGTGCCAGGGAGCAGCGTCCCAGCAGGTCCACCAGGATCCTCCTCCTCTGACCATCTGTCCACTTGTCAAACTGCAACAAAGGAACGTCAGGTTCTGAGGAACTGGAGATTCAGCTTCTCAAAGCACACGTTTAAGGCACGGGAAAGTGCAGAAGCAGCAGCTTCTGGTGAGTCATTCGAGAGCAAAGCACGTAGGGACTGGGAACAAATGGAGAGGCTACATTAAAAGAAAACTCTGAAGCTCCACAACGTATGATTTATAATCCTCAAAGGATCTGGGATGGCCTAGTCCAGGACACACTCATCTTCACAAGACTCTTTGCTCCTGGGACCAGCTCTGGGACTTGGCTTCACTCGTGGAAAGGAGGAGACTCAGATGTGTGCTCACAGGATCAACTCCCAAATTCCAATGAGTCCACTGCTGATTCCTCCTTTATCCCGACCCTTCTATGGCCCCACTACTGCAATGTCTGAGCACCTCAGAATTTGTGAAGCATTTATTCTCACAATCCCACTGCACAGGAGTGAAATCCCCTGAGGAGAGGAGAGGAGAGGAGAGGAAGAGAAGAGAAGAGAAGAGAAGAGAAGAGAAGAGAAGAGAAGAGAAGAGAAGAGAAGAGAAGAGAAGAGAAGAGAAGAGAAGAGAAGAGAAGAGAAGAGAAGAGAAGAGAAGAGAAGAGAAGAGAAGAGAAGAGAAGAGAAGAGAAGAGAAGAGAAGAGAAGAGAAGAGAAGAGAAGAGAAGAGAAGAGAAGAGAAGAGAAGAGAAGAGAAGAGAAGAGAAGAGAAGAGAAGAGAAGAGAAGAGAAGAGAAGAGAAGAGAAGAGAAGAGAAGAGAAGAGAAGAGAAGAGAAGAGAAGAGAAGAGAAGAGAAGAGAAGAGAAGAGAAGAGAAGAGAAGAGAAGAGAAGAGAAGAGAAGAGAAGAGAAGAGAAGAGAAGAGAAGAGAAGAGAAGAGAAGAGAAGAGAAGAGAAGAGAAGAGAAGAGAAGAGAAGAGAAGAGAAGAGAAGAGAAGAGAAGAGAAGAGAAGAGAAGAGAAGAGAAGAGAAGAGAAGAGAAGAGAAGAGAAGAGAGAAGAGAAGTCAGCAGCTCAAGTCTCACAAGGAGACTCTGTGGTGTCGACCTGTTGGTGCAGTGGCCACGATAGGTCAGAGCATTTCTGTGCTGCTGACAGGTACCCAAGGAGGAGGACTGGAGTGACTGTGGGAAGAGATGAGCACTGGGGGAACCACAGCAGCACGTATCCCTCTGCTGTGGTGGAGTGGGGTAAACAGGGCTGGGAGCAACGCTGCTGGGACCTGGTGCTGAACTGGTGCTGAGAGCAGGGGGTGGGAAGGGCCCCG